AGCCCGACTGTATTTACATTTGCAGGCACGAGGAAGCGAAATATGAATAAAAACATTTTTTTTCTTCTTTTTCGACAGGTAGGTACTCCACAAGGTTTAAGTCTTGCTTTGAATTGAGAGTGTATATATTGAAACTAGAGTAAAATAAATTAAAAAGCGTGGTTAGTTGGTATGAGTGAATGAGTCCGTGCGGATTTGCAGGATAAACGAATTACTAGAAGTACGGCATTGCGCGCGCACACCAAAAATTACTAGTAAGACTTACTCCCCCCTCCTACCGACTTTCCCATTTGTGGAAGGAAGGAAGGAAGGAGTGAGCTGAGAGAATGACATAAAGATTTCGACTGAACGAGAGGAAAGGGTCGATGGAGAAAGAATGAATGAATGAACGAAAGAAAAAATGAAAGAAAGAGAAAGAAACACAAGGGAGAGTAAGGCGACGAAGAAAAACTGTGAAACGGAGAGTAAGAAGAAAGTAAAGTGAACGAATTAAGAGATGTTACAGTAGTTTAAAAAAAAAAATATATATTATGTTTTTTTTTTTTTAAGTAGAGAGGGAAATACATACTGGCGAGATTCAAGAGTTAGTTTTTAAACCTGTTCCTCTTTCGTTTGGTTAACAACGAGAAAAATAAATAGATACGTTAGAGAGAAAATAACTATCCACCTCTCTTGTTTATAATTTGGTGAGAAGATTTAAGAAAAAGTAAAGACCACCTCGTTAGCAATAAAATAACATTTAACAGACATTTGATAGACTTTCTTCTTTTTATCGAGATGGGCGGGGGAGTATTAATACAAATTCGTGTAGATAAACGTGCGTTTCGAAGATGGAAGATTTTTTTTTTTAAGAAAATCAAAGACGCTTTCTTTCTCCTTTCTTTTGTGTTTGAAAGAGTCAACACTAACAGTTCTCAAATAAGATAATTTATCAGCGGGAAATACTACAGTGTTGTTTGCAATCTCACAAACACATGAGTGACGTTGGTTGTTGTTAAGTGTACTTGTTGTGTACCTGCGTTCCACACCGCCTCCAAACACATTTATTGTGACTTAGGGAAAAATAAAATGATTATTTAAGTAAAACAAAAAGCATGACTCGGCTTTTCTTTTAAGTTGCTATTTTAACCCAAAACAAGTTTAAACATAAGACAATCTAAATTTATTTGTTGAATTCAGAAGAATAAATAGTTCAGAATTAATTTCGGAATCAGTCAGTCAGTCCATTTATTTTAAGCCAGTTCATATGTATGTATGTATATGTGTGTGTGTGTGTGTGTGTGTGTGTGTCAGTGTCAGTCAGTATCTCTTCTTGAGATAGATAGATAGAAAGAAAGAAAAACTATATGTACGCATCAGTTTTCTTTTCTATATACCTATCTTTTCTTTCTTCGTTTTTACGTGTTTATGAATCTCAGTTACTTTGTTTTGTTTCCATCTATTATCTCAGTCTGCTCACATATGTAATACTTTTGATATCTATCTATCATTCTGTCTATCTATTCATATTTATCAATCTATCTATCAGTTCATATTTATTCTGTCTATTCATGTGTTTTATCAGTTCATATTCATATGTATCTGTCTATCAGTTTATCTTTCTATTCATATCTGTCTGTTCATATGTATCTGTTTATCAGTTCATTTTCATATCTATCTATTCATATTCCATTATCTATCTATCTATCTGTTTATCAGTTCATTTTCATATCTATCTATTCATATTCCATTATCTATCTATCTATCTAATAATAATAATGGACTCTCCCGTCGGTTTTGACGTATGAGGATCTGACAGCTTATTGATTCAGTTATGAAAGTTTGTGTGATAATCTTACGTGGCATTTAAGACCCGCTAGTGATTTACAAAGGAGGCCACATATGGAGCAAGTGTGAGGATTGTGAAATGCGATCACTGTTAGACTGGCCCATCTTTTAGATCTTGCTCTTGCTTTTTGAAGATGATTCAGGCAAACAGATTGAAAATTGCTGAGTCCACTAAAACACGTTGATCTCCATTCTACCCGCTCCAAAGCTAAGCGCTCAAGGGTGTTATATGGTATATTGACTGCTGACAAATTGCTTTTCAGCTTGTCTTTGTATCTTAGCCATGGGCATCCTACATTCCTGTGGACATGATCTAATTGGCTGTACATTAGGATCTTGGGTATCCTGTCATCAGACATTCTATCTATCTATCTATATATATATTCATATCTATCTATCAGTTCATGTATATCTATTCATATCTATCTATCTATATATATATTCATATCTATCTATCAGTTCATGTATATCTATTCATATCTATCTATCTATATATATATATATATATATATATATATATATAGATATATATATTCATGTCTATCTATCAGTTCATATATATCTATCTCTATATATATATATATATATATATATATATATATATATTCATTTCTATCTATCAGTTCATATCTATCTATCTATCTATATATATATATTCATGTCTATCTATCAGTTCATATCTATCTATCTATCAGTTCATATCTTTCTATTCATATCTATCTATCTATTCATATGTATCTATCAGTTCATATCTATCTATTCATATATATATATCTATTCATATCTCTCTATATATATATATATATATATATATATATTTTCATGTCTATCTGTTTATTTATCTATCAGTTTATATCTATCCATATGTATCTAGTACATGGGGGTTACAGGGAGTGAAAGTGAGAAAAAATATTGTGTAATGGAGGGGTATTGAGTAAGGGAGCTCCACAGGTGGGGAGTGTGAGAAAAGAAACTGTTGGAGTAGAAGTGATGGTTGCATTTAGCTATTTCAACAATAAACTGGTGGGACCTAGATGCCAATGTAGAAGCACACTTAAATTTATGTAGTCGGGGTGTCAGGGGAGATAGCTCATCAGAACAGTTGCCATGAAAATATTTGTAGAAAAGACAGAGGGAAGCCATGTTGAGTCAGTGAGAATGTGACTGAAGTCGAGATGACACGTCAGGATCAATTACATTAAAGATCCATTGTTGCATTTTGTCAAGAATATACAGCAGGAGGAACAGACCAGATATGGAAGCAGTATTCAACGCACAGGCAAAAGTTAGATTTGTAAATGTGCAGGATGGACTGAAAAGAAATATTTTCTGACATGACACAGTGACCCAAATTTCCTTAGTATATATATATATATATATATATATATATATATATATATATATATATATATGTGTGTGTGTGTGTGTGTGTGTGTGTGTGTGTATAGATACATATGAATAGATAGATGCATATGAATAGACATGTATGAATAGATAGATATGAACTGATAGATACATATCAATAGATCGATAGATATGAATATATAGATATGAACTGATAGATACATATGAATAGATATATATGAACTGATAGACATGAATATATATATATATATATATATATATATATATAGATAGATAGATATGAATAGATAGATACATATGAAAAGATATGAATAGATAGATACATATGAAAAGATATGAATAGATACATACGAATAGATATGAATAGAAAGATATGAACTGATAAAGAGAGATAGATACATATGAATAGATATATATGAACAGATAGACATGTATATATATATATATATATATATATAGATAGATAGATAGATAGATAGATATGAACTAAGAGATACATATAAATAGATAGATATGAATAGAAAGATATGAACTGATAGATATGAATAGATATATATGAACTGATAGACATGAATATATATATATGTGTGTGTGTGTGTGTGTGTGTATATATATATATATATATATATATATGAATAGATAGATATTGAAAACATGAGGCTAAAAAGGTGTGGTGCCCTCCAGGAGTCTAGTGTCAGTCATGTTGATGACAGACAGAAAAGTTTCCTTATGGTGAGTAAATGAGAGCAGTTTTGTTTTGGAGGTGTTAACATTTAAAAGCCATTTCCTGCCCCAGTTAACCACTGATTGGAGGTCCTTTTCAATGGCAGCAGACAGATTTACTTTGTCGAATCAAAAAGATCATTGATGAAGATCAGAAACAGCATAGGACCAAAAATAGAGTCTTAGGGCACACCCACATTTGTGTGAAAGGATCTGGAAGTGAGCCCATTCAAAACAACTTTCATTTCATGATTTGATAGGAATGATTGGATTAAATCAAGCAATGCTCCTGTAATACCATAGACCTGGAGCATGCGTATGCCACTAAACAAAATCAACCAACCAACTAAATGAGCAATACAGAACAAATACACTATGCCTAGAGGCAATTTATGTGATAAAAAGTACATTTAAAAATGAAATTGTTAAAGGGAGATAACTGCTGATTTGAAGTCAAGACATTGATAACTCTCTCCTCCAATTTGCAAACCCTAGTTACCATATTCTTAATACTTGATGTAATGCAAAAATATCATAATGATAAAATCAGTCAATAATTATTTAAAACTATTTATACTGGGACTTATGCATGCAATTACAAGTAATCCAGAATAATATTCTAAATTTTTGGCATATGAATTTTTTTGAAAGTGTTTTTAACAGATTGTCATTGAGGGCACCTAGCATCAATTAAATAAAGGTTCATGATTAAAAGAAACACCAGTCCCCATTGCTTGATTAACAACAGATTGGCAGATTTAGATCAGCTATCAATTTGACTTTATTGAATCTATCAGACTTACCATTAAGACAACAGTAAATAGCTGTATCATCAGCATAGATACTGAGTCTAAGACTAGTAAATATCATTGATAAAAATTAGGGACAAATTAGGTCTAAGGATAAAGTGGCCATTCAAAACAACCTTCATTTCATGATTTGATAAGATTGTATCAAATCAAAATTTCAGTAAGAAACACCATAACTCTTTAACTTGTGAAGAAGACCAGCATGCTAAACCCTGTTTTTTGAATATCTCAGTGTTTCAGATATCTCAAAAAATTTTTAACAGACTCATTGAGGGGCTGTGGCCAAATCATATTGAAACACCAGTCCCCATCGATCACTGGAGTTAAGCAATATCAAGTCAGGTCAGTACCTAGATGGGTAACTTCTTGGGAATATCAGGTGTTGTAAGCTTGGATGTGCAGGTGGTGTAATAGATAATGGCTCAAAATTGTTAATCGGCAAGCTAAGTTCCAAATTTGGTTCTGTTGGGTTTGTTATATTCACTTACAAACAAATACCCTTGGGAAAGGTATGTATCCACATCTTTTCTCAACAGATACGAGTTAATTAGTAAAACTTGTAACACTAAGCCATTATTATATCTCCCCACCGAAATCTTGCAAGCTAAAACTATTTTCTGGCTTTAAATAATATGCAAAAGGTTGATAAACCATAGAAAACAAATCAATCAGCTAATAAAATACTGATTAGCTGCACAGGCATGCCTTTTAGATTTATTCACATTCTCTGGAATATAAATTTCTAGAAACTACCATGGTCACAAAAGTGGTAGAAGCTCTGACTGACTCCAAATCAGTCAGGTTTCGGTCCTGGCTTGAAGTATTCAGATGTCTAGTTGCAGAGAGGTGCTGTGATATAGTGAAACAATACTGTCTGCGAATGACATAATTAAGCTCTTGAAAACATATTTCAATTTAGCACTGTTGAGAGATAAGCTGATTCTATAAACAACAGCCACCTGCACTAATGCAAAGCTCTTCAGTAAAATGAATTGGAGCCCTCTGACTGATTGGCATTTGTTTACATTCATAAAAACAATATGCTAGAATTAGCTGTTTCTCTCTGCTGAATGATGTTAGCTCAGTGATAGAAACTCTGATTGACACCAAATCGGTCCGGTTTCGGTTCTGGCTTGAAGCATTTGGATGTCTAATCGCACTGAGGAGCTGCAATACAGCAAAATAGTACTGTCTGTGAATGACATTGATTTGAATATATAGTTGATCCAATTTATATCGACATTATAATTTCTTGTTTGTCTATATTTCTGAGATGAGGTATTGTAACTATTTACATTGTTCAGACTATTGTCCTCATCTTTGTTATCATATTCATGACATTTCGACCATTGTACATTCTGGCCTTCATCAGGTGATATTTGTTGGAATTTTGAACTAAACAACGGCGGTAGATTGTTCAAGTTCTACACGTTTTGTCCATGTAATATGGTTTACAGTGTGGAAAATAATTCATCACCCACAAGGCCACATAAGCACTTTTGAACACTGTTTTGGACAAGGAAGATTGGACAGCACCTAACCCAGATATGCCAGCAATAGTCCATTCTTGGTCTGATCTTTTGTCACCACAGAATAATAGATTTAAACAGCATCAAGTAAACAACATCATGGTATTTAAAATAGTGTACATGAAAAAAGTGCACAAATATGTTTCTGAAGAATCTTGCAATACTTTATCAAATTTTGAGTTTTCTCAATCTGACAGTGAATCAGATATTGATCCAAGACAATTTCTAGTTGGTGATGAAGAACCCATGATTGTTTTGGAACTGCTAATGAGATACTGTGCTGATGAGACGTCAGACAAAAATATCTCAGTCCTAAGTGATTAATATAAATACATTTTATCATTCTTCCCTATTTGCCAAAGATGCTAAAGTAAGCTGGTCACATGACCATGATTTCATAATCAGATCTGTTGAAAAGCAAGCTTTCTTTTTTAGGCGGCAGTAGCAGCCACAAATCAAAATAAAACATTGTCCGCAGTGTAACATGAAAGGAAGGCAAAGAATTGATTTCTGGATGATTGATAAAAAAAAAATCAATTATTTCTTTGGCAACGTTTTAACAGCAAGGACCATGTTCATATTGGTTAGGTACATGTCAAACCAACCAAGCCACCCAGGGTAGAGAGATAATGAAATGAGCTTGACACTTGTCTGGTAGCCAAATTGAGTGGTTTGGTTCAATTTATTGGATATAAAAGGTCAGAAAGTGGTTGAAGAATTTATTTTGTTGTTGTTGAGAAGGACTCATTTTTATAATGAGTGCGACAAAATAGAGTAAGCTGGTCTCATGTTTATGATTTCCTAATGACCATTCATTCATGCCATCCTGGGTAAGACGTTAAACTACATCAGCGTCCTGGGTAAGATGTTAAACTATGTCCAGCAGCAAGGCCTCTGATCAGGAGGTTTTGAGGAGCATGGAAGCAGCTCTTAATTGCTGATGTTCCCAGGTCCACCCTGTCCAGGAGTGGTAGCACCTGTTAGGGTCCCAGCTATGGGCAAATAGTTAACTATTACCAGCAATACGTTTTGAAAAAAATTATTACCAGCAATACAATTTGGAAGGAAATATATTACCAGAAACAGATTTTTTGACAAAACAAAATATTACCAGCAATAAAAATTTTTGTCAGCATTAAATAACCCATTGAGATTGATATGTCAGAAACAAAATAAACCAAACCAATCTAAACCAAAGAATACATATTCTATTCATACGAATCTATCCTAAAAATGTTGTCGGCATTAAATAACCCATTGAGATTTATATGCCGTAAAACAAAATAAACCAAACCAATCTAAACCAAAGAATACATATTCTATTCATATGAATCTATCCTAAAAATGTTGTCGGCATTAAATAACCTATTGAGATTGATATGCTGTAAAACAAAATAAACCAAACCAAACCATTCATTCATGCACTAAGTATTGCTGCCACATCTGGTCCATTGCTTCTGTTGTTGATAAACTCCAAAAGAGAATCTGCAATGTTATTGGTCCTAACCTGGCATCTTGGTTTCAGTCACCTTCTCAACTGCCGTAATATAGCTTCCCTGTGCCTTTTCTATAAATATTTTCGTCGTAATTGTTCTGATGAACTTTCCTCTTTGTCTGTGTGAGTGCATGGGATGAATGAATGGTTTATATCATTTTAGTCCCACATTGATTTTGGCCAGTTAACTGATGTTTTGGACACATTTAAGAATTTTGTGGGGTTTTATTACTAACATTATTTTGTTTATTTTCATGTAAATAGATTGTATTCATTGGGGCTTTTTAAATTGTTGTTTTATTCTCCTCCCTCCACAAGACAATGAATAGGGACTAGTTAGGATTTTCATAGAAACGTTGAAGTATTATGGTGGATGTAGTAAGAAAGGTACATAAGAATGTGTTGTTTTGGTGTAAGGAATATTGTTGGTATGATTGGGTCAGTGATTGTGGCTAACTAAGTTTAAAGTTAAGACAAAACACCGTCCTTTTCCCCAATTCCCATTTTGGCCTTGTGCTATATTTTGTACAATTGTACACGTAGACTTTATGAATTTAAGCACAGGATTAGATTTGTGACAAGGTCTCATCTTTTTACAGTTGAAATGGCCAGATGTAACTGTAAGTTCTATGCTAACAGTTTCTTCTCTTCCATTTCTCGCTTGTGGAACTCTCTTCTGGCTTCTTGCTTTCCAGTCAACTTTGATCTTCAAAAATAATACAATGCCAATCATCATCTTCTGTCTTCTTAATTCTTGTTCTTTTATTTTGCTCTCTTTTTAATGTTTTCTTTTTCTTGTTATAGGTTATCTTCTTTGATAGAATAGTCATCCACTAGTATTATCATTTTTTTTTTTTTAGTAAAATTAACTAAAATCTCAAGAGCTAACCCGAGTAAAGTACTACTAAATAAGGTGTGTGGTACTAAAAAAAGTGGAAGAAGTAAGAAATGAAGATTGTAAGGATATGGAGTATGGATAAGTATTGACCATAGACATGACGAGGTTATCGTCGTTGTAATCTGGAAAGCATCCATGCAGGTGTCCATGCCTACTTTATAGAACAAAGTAGCCGTTCTTGGAAAGAAACGTTCGGAGTGGATGCACTTCTTTGCAAAAGAATACATAGAGGGTGAGGATGATTCAACTGGGCATAGCAAGGTGTATCTTGGCTGTAAAGAACTGAGTCGGTAGGAAAGCATTTGTAGGTTCGGAAATATTGTATCACTCATAAAGCCACATAAACACTCTTGAACTCTTTGACATTCTAGCATAGAATCACACCTACATATTTTCTTGTACATATTTTCATAATTACTACTACTTCTATACAATACAACTTAGAACACAAACATAGAAAACATTAAAAACAAACGCCTTGTAAATGACTAATTACAAATTGTCCAAAAGCGCTTGTGGCAATAATCAAGACAGACAGTTCCTACAGTATCTTAGGCTCTCGCCTCTGTTTTTTTTTTTACAGTAAGGTTTACTTTGTACAAAGCCTGAGGGCCACTTGAGGTAGAGGATTGCATTAAGGGGTAGTTTATATGGATAGGAGGAGAAGATAATGGTTAACTGTAGACTTGAGCAGGTTAAGATTGTAGCGATCGGGGAAATATCCTCTTAGCAGTGGTTCATGAGAAGAAGCTGTTTGAATGGAAATGAAATATGAAAGGAATGTAGGTGGTTTGCTACTATGTAAGTGGAATGGTGGGTCCTAGCCATGAAGGTTAGAACTGGCGGGTCTAAGGAATGTAGTTCGTCCAAGCACTTTCCATGGAAATAGCAATAAATCAATGACAAGCTATTTTTTCTTCAACAAGAATTTGGAGACACTTTTGAATTCTACTGAAACTAGAAAGTGTGCATCAGCAGCTTCTGTCCAAATATAGTAACAGTACTCCATTTTCAGAATGAGCTGGCTCTTATAAAGGTAGAATATAGCATGAGGAGTCAGGTAATTTATTGTGTAAAAACTGTCCAAATTTTCTTCATATCCGATTTACTATTCGTCCAAAACGCCTATATTCTTAAAGAAAAAGAGTAATATAAATTCTTAAACAAAGGAACTATGAAAAGATTACTCAGAACCCGAGTTCGGGGTTTGTTTACATTAATACTATTCGCCCAAAACGCCTATATTCTTACAGAAAAAGAGAGACGTAATTTCTTTAAACAAAGGAATGTATGTGGCTTATGGAAAATTTTCCTAAGATATAGTGAGCAGAAGTGAAAAAATTTAGATACATCAATGTCATTTTGGAGAGTGGGGTAGCGAGAGTATCGGCGCAGATTTGCCGCAGAAATGCAACGAAGAATAGCCTGTCGCCGTTAAACAACACGCTCGCATTTCAGTGACGAAAT